GCAAATTGCCCCCTCAACAACAACTACCCCACACGGAACTATAATTCGTCCCCGTCGGGAAGCAATCGCCCAGCTCGCGCTTTTTGCCTCAAGCAGGACAGCCCTTTAGAGGAATACCTGGGACCCCTGCATGAAGCTAACCCCGTGTATGCCGCAAGTGACAATAGGCAACACCACAGGCAAGAAGTGCTACTGGAGGGTCGCCCCACCCAGGGATTGAGAGACACTGGGGCCACTATCCCTTGGTGCAAGGCCGATTAGTCCCCGAGCACAAGCGCTCCACCGACACTGTCGCAGTCCGGGTGGCTGGGGGGGACATATACAAGCTACCCACAGCGAAAGTGCACTTGGACTGGGGTGCGGGGAAAGGACTTGTGAGGGTGGGGATTATGGATAATCTACCGGCTGAAGTTTTGCTGGGAAACGACCTAGGTCCCATGACCTCAGCATATGCACCTTCTTACAACTCCGAGGCGGATCCAGTGACTACCCGGTCGCAAGCAGGGAGAGCTCGAGACCCTTCACCAGTGCGGGATACTTAGGTAAGACTTAACCCGACTGTGACCATCCCCCCTGCCCCATTACTCTGGGACACCCCTGCAGCCTTTGAGGCTGAGACCAAAACTGACCCGACACTCCAAAAGTATAGGGAAAGAGCCGATACAGGGACTGGGGGATCAGACCATGAGACTTTCGCATGGGAACAGGGCCGACTGTACCGACACACAGAGAAGAAGGGCCACCGTAGGAGACAGCTAGTTATACCCCACAAATATAGACGTGATATACTCCGGGTGGGCCACGATATTCCCTTAGCCGGACACTTGGCAGTAACCCGTACCCTCCATCGTATTACCCATACCCTTTTCTGGCCAGGGGTACATGCGGTTGTGAGGACCTATTGCAATACGTGTGAGGTATGCCAAAGGGTAGGCAAGAGAGGAGACCACCCTAAGGCACACCTCGTTAACATGCCCATTATCGATGAGCCGTTTAGCCGGGAAGCCATCGACTTAGTAGGGCCACTGGCCACCCCCAGTCCATCTGGTAAGAGATATATTCTTACCATCGTGGACTATGCTACCCGCTACCCGGAAGCCGTAGCTTTATCTAACATACAAGCGGACACTGTGGCTAATGCGTTAGTACAGGTATTCTCTCGGGTAGGGAGATCCTATCCGACAGGGGGACCCAGTTCACGGCAGAGCTAACACAGCAGCTATGGCATGTCTGCAAGATAAAATCCCTCCTCAGCTCCCCTTATCACCCTCAGACCAATGGGCTATGTGAGAGGTTCAATGGAACCCTCAAACAAATGTTAAAAACCTTCACGCAGGAGTATAGAGACTGGGAACATTTCCTGCCGCATCTCCTGTTTGCTTACCGGGAGTTGCCCCAGGAAACCACCAGATTCTCTCCCTTTGAGCTGCTGTACGGACGTAAGGTGCGGGGTCCCCTGAACCTTATCCGTGAGCACTGGGAGGGAGAGACAGGGAACGCTGGGGTCCCCATCGTACCTTACGTGCTGGAGCTGAGGGACCGTATGGAGCAATTGGCTAAGTCAGTCCGGGCCAACCTCCAGGCGGCCCAGGGGCGACAGAAAGTCTGGTACGACCGGGGGGCACGGTGGAGGAGCTTCTGTATAGGACAGAAGGTCATGGTACTAAAACCCATTAAAGCAGACAAGCTGCAAGCAGCCTGGCAGGGGTCTTACCAGATAGTGGATTAGAGGGGGGACACTACCTATGTGATTGCCAGCTGTCACGATGAGAACCTACGGAAGATATTCCATGTGAATATGCTGAAGGAATACCTACAGAGGCCAGAGGAGGTGTCAGCCATATGTAGTCCCGCGTTTGAGGACCCAGATAGTCTCCCAATAGCCGACTTATTGACCCCCACCTCCCCGTCTGAAGTAGTGGACCAAGTACAGATCGGGGACCGACTTAACTCAGTAGAGAGGGAGCAGCTACACAAACTGCTCCGAGAGAAACAAGCAATGTTTTCTCAGGAACCGGGGTGCACCGATCTGGCCACCCACCAAGAAGATACCCCCGGGCAAACACCATTAAGGCAGGCCCCCTACCGAATCCCAGAGGCAGTTCGGGCAGGCATGAAGAAGGAAATAGATGAGATGCTCCGGCTAGGGGTCATTGAAGCTTCCGATGACAAAACCGTCACCGATGCTTATCCCATGCCCAGGGTGGATGAGCTGCTGGACCGCATAGCCAGGGGGAACTACCTAACTACCATTGACCTCTGTAAAGGTTATTGGCAAATCCCTCTGGCCAGGGAAGGTGTCCCCAAATCGGCATTCGTCACCCTGTTCGGTTTATACCACTTTAAGGTTATGCCGTTCGGGATGAAGAATGCCCCCGCCACATTCCAGCGCTTGGTGGACAGACTCCTTGATGGCTTCCAGGAATTTGCCTGCGCATACCTGGACGACATAGCGATCTATAGTGAGTCCTGGGAGGAACACTTAGCTCATGTAGGAATAGTCCTGGATCAGATTCGGGCCGCGGGCCTGACCCTGAAGCCAGAGAAATGTCACTTTGGGATGGCTGAGGTACAGTACCTGGGTCACCGAGTAGGATGCGGGAAGCAGCGACCGGAGCCGGCTAAGATAGAGGTGGTCGCAAACTGGCCCACCCCGCACACTAAGACATGGGACCCCGCCGGGTACTACAGGAGATTTGTACCCGAGTATAGTGCTATTGCTAAACCCCTGACCGACCTGACAAAGAAAAACCTTCCCCGACAGGTCCTGTGGTCTCCCCACTGTGAAATCGCTTTCCAAGCGCTCAAAACTGCTTTGATTAATGCTCCTGTCTTGGCTGCCCCAGCCCTTAATCGACGTTTTATTGTTCATACAGACGCTTCCATGTTCGGGCTGGGAGCTGTCCTCAGCCAAGTAGGAGACGATGGGAAAGAGCACCCGATTGCTTACATCAGCCAAAAACTCCTACCACGCGAAGTCAGCTATGCCGCGGTAGAAAAGGAGTGTTTGGCCCTGGTGTGGGCATTAAAGAAGTTAACCCCCTACTTGTATGGACAAGAGTTCACTCTGGTTACAGACCATAACCCGTTGGTGTGGCTCAACCGGGTTGCTGGGGATAATGGACGATTATTACGCTGGAGCTTATCTTTACAACCATTTAATTTTACCATCACCTACCGACCCGGGAAGCAGAATGGCAACGCCGATGGGTTATCCCGACAGACTGACCTCAGCCCAGCATAATTTGTCAGTCTGGACAGCCTTAGTCTACCCCGAAAAGGGGTCAGACAGTGTCTGCCAGAGTGTTCCACAAAGAGGGAGCATTGTTACAAAAGACTCAAAATGACTTCATTATTGTTACCACATCTTGTTACTGTTGCAGCCCTATACTATTGACACAGAGAAATACGAATGGATTATACGAATCCTTATAAAGAACCATTCGTGGTACGAACAAGAGACCCCCCAAACGCTGGCATGTGCCGCCAATTAACCTCCTCACCCCGCAAAGTACCGAATGACCGACCACCCGGCCAGCGGAGTGTGGCGCCCATTAACCCCCCAGGCGTCTGCGGTCTGCGGTTAACCACAAACTAATTGACGGGCAAGGATGATCTACGTTTGCATACAAATTACCGAATGGGAACTACCGAACAACCTCACGAACGGAGACCTCCTACAATGGGTCGTGTGTCAGCAATTAGAATGTGGTTTCTGTGGTTAACCGAGCTATTGAATGAATGGTAGAATGAACCGTTTTCCCCTATTAATGTTGAAGTTATGTATTTTCATACAGTTTTGTGAGGCATAATAAAACGTGGTCTTTTGTGAGCTTGGAGATAATTAGATTGTATAACCGTTGGCCTCATTATCTTCAAGCTGGGTGGGTACTAATTCAAATGATACATTGTACTGTGATTGGTCACCTGTTTGTACTGTACCTGTATTCCATCAGGTCCACAGGGGGCTGTCCTTGGACCTGAGGAATTGCATAAATTGCCATGTTTGTGTGCCAGTAAAGTCAGTTCGTTTTGACCCTCAACTTGCAGCCTCGACTCATGTTGTAGGGATCCGGGATATTGATGCTTATACAGCTTTTGGGATACTCTACACTTGCAGCTTTTACCGAAGGAACTCCGTTCGACTCTCTACTGCAGGAACCAGGACATCCAAGCGATCAACCCCCCTGCTAGACCAGGGGCAATCTTAACAGAAGGTTTTGGCTATGTCCTCTGTCGTGTCTTGGCGTGTCCCACCCTTTGTCATAATGTGAGAGATGTATGTCTTTTGGTGCTTGTCCTTTAGAGCTCTGGCCAGATATTTCCCACTTTTATTGCCGTGAGCGTAATATGTCCCCCTAGTCAGCTGGGCTGCCCTATGCGCTTTCACGATAAGGAGGTTTCGCAGTTCTATTCAGGGTGCTGTTAATGTTTTGTATGCTTCGGGTGTAGGGTTAGATTTGTGGTTAGACTCTGCTGTGGATATAGCTTCAGTGAGAGATCGGATTTGTGCCGCTCTTTCCTTTTTGATCCGTGCTCCCCATTTAATCAGGATCCCTCTGGTTATGCCTTTGTGTGCTTTCCATACCCAGGATTCTGCTGTGCCTTTATCTATATTTTCTAAAAAGTACCTGGGTAGAGCGCTATTCAAATCCTCCATTACCCTGGGGTCCTCCAGTAGTAATTCATTTAAGCGCCATGAGTTGCTTATGGCACTCTTCTCTTCAAGGGACAGCGTAAGGAATATTGGGGCATGGTCCGACCATGTGATCGGTCCAATGGACGAGTGAACTAGTGTGTGCAGGTGTCTATGTCCTATCATGAACATATCCAGTCTAGAGTAACTATGTGCTTCCTGGGAGAAGTATGTGTAATCCCTTTCCTGGGGGTGGGCAATCCTCCAGCAGTCTACTAGTAGTGATGTTGCGAAGTTTTTGCGAACGGTTCGCAAACGTTTCGCCACGGTTCGCCATGAACCGTTCACCGCGAACTCCAGTCAGCAGACGCATCCCGGCCAATCTGCAGCAGACCCTCCCTCCTAGACCCTCCCACCTCCTGGACAGCATCAATTTTGAAGGCATTTTGAAGGCAGCTTCAAAATGGATGCTGTCCAGGAGGTGGGAGGGCCTGGGAGGGAGGGTCTGCTGCAGATTGGCTGGGATGTGTCTGCTGACTGGAGTTCGCAACGAACGGTTCATGGCGAACCGTGGCGAACCGTTCGCAACATCACTATCTACTAGTTGATTGGCATGTAGGGCTCTTTGAAATAGTAGACGCTGGTGTGCTTGTGTGTCTCTGCCTGTCGCTGAACTGTCTATTGAGTGATCTAAGACTATGTTCCAGTCGCCCCCCATCACTACCATACCCTCTGCAAAATTCTCTAGTTTTCTGAGGCATGATTTGATGAATGGGACTTGCCTGTTGTTGGGTGCATAAACATTTACTAGGGTAATGAGTGTGTTGTTAAGTTTGCCTCTGAGGAATATGTACCTTCCCTGTGGGTCTAGTTTACTGTCTTGGAGTATGAATGCTCTTCTGGACGATAACAGGATAGCGACCCCTCTAGATTTGCATCCATGATCATTGCTAAAGTATGATTGCCCCATCGATTTAGTTCTCAATATGGGGGTCTGATCCGATCTAAAATGTGTTTCCTGGAGAAATACTATATCCACCTGCTGTCTGTCCAATCCACGCGCTAGTCCTGTGCGTTTTTCGGGTGTGTTAAGTCCCCATATGTTCAGGGACATAGGTTGAAGATTATCCATCATAAAATGGCCAGAGGTAGGGGCATCTCGGACTTAAATTATACGGTGCGTACCTATACCCAATGGGGTAGGATTTGGGGGAAAAACGTAAACCAGGAAAATTATATACAGTGTGCATGCGGTGTGCATGCTGTAACCAGATGGTGTCAAGCCCACTGTGGATCATGTGGATCCTGCGTGCTCTTTGTGGCACCTCTTGGCGGGTTGCGTGGTCTAGACCTGTCGAGACTCTAGGCCTTCTGCACATGTTTTATACATAATACGTAAATATTTATCATTCTAACATTAGCATATTCTAACATAACTTAAAGCTGATAATGGCATTTAACTATGAATCGAATCCCAGTTCCAGCGTCTCCTTCGCTTTTTGGGGGTGCGTTGCCATTTTGCCCTTTGGGGTAGTTGCTTGTCTTGTTCCATGTCGAGACCAGTCCAGTCTTCCACCATGTCTGTGGGTATGCCTAAGGCTTGTTGAAACGTCGGGACGTCTGCTGGTGTAGAGATTGAGTGTGTCTTCCCTTGGCGGTTCCCACTAAAGCGAAAGGGTATGCCCAGCGGAATCGTATGTTGCGGTCTGAGAGCGTCTTCGTGATCGGGCGCAGTGCTCTTCTCGAGATAAGTGTGGATTGCGCCAGGTCCTGAAATATCTGCACTTTACAGTCGCCAAATTAAATGTCTCTAATTTGCTTGGCCTTTTGCAGGATTGTCTCTTTTAGGGGGAATGATGGAGCCTGCAGATAATGTCCCTTGGTTTCTCATTAGTTAGCGCTCTTGGCCTGATCGCTCTGTGAGCGCGGTCAAACTTGATGGGTGTATCTAGCAGCCTGCCCAGCAGCTGATTAAAGAGATTTGTGAGGGTTTGTGGGATATTTTCACTTGTTCCTTCAGGGGTCTCAGGAATGCCTCTAATTCTAAGGTTGTTGCGCCTTCCCCTATTGTCTAGGTCCTCTATTTTCCTCTGTAGGAATATTAGGGCCTCATTTTGGGTTTGTTGGAGAGTTTGTATGTAATGTATTTGTAGGGCTGTTGTTTCCCCCTCTTCTTCTAGTGTTTGCAACCTATTGCCAATGTGGCTTACCTCCTCATGGAGAGATTGTAGCTTGGCGCCAAAGCTCCTTTCCATTTTGGAGAACATTGCCTCGAGGTCCAGTTTGGAGGGTAGCTGAGTTAGGATGGTTTTAATATCTGCTCCTTCTGTGGAGCTGTCCGAGGGAGCAGGGCTGGCTGGTGCGCTGCTCGCGGGAGAATTCTCAGCCGCGGCCATCTTGGACCGCATGCTTGCCTCCTGTTTTTCTGTGAAGAATCTCCTCAGGGAAGTCTTGGAGGAGGTAAGGGTGGAGGAGGGAGTGCTGCCTGTTTGTGCCTTCGATCTTTTGGTCGCCATGTCCTCTAAAACTGCCAGGATTCTTGCTATTTAGGCCTGTCTCGAGCAGAGCTCTGCTCTCATGCGGCCATTCACTCCTGTGTCCAAGCCAAGCCCCCTCATCTGTGACTTTTGTCAAAATACTCAGCTGGACTGTTCTTCTACTAAGTCTACGATTACTTAGAGCCCATCTTCACATGTCTTCATTTATGGCTTTCCTAGTGAAATCAGCCATTAAATGTTCCGGTGTAATCTTCAGCAATTTCAGTGCTGCCCTTATGTGTTAATTTCATCCTTTACTTGGAAATTTATTGCAGTTCCTTCTACTGTGTTCCTGAATAATTGAGTCATGCACCATGGGGATCGTGGTGTATCCTGCATGGAGCGATGAATGATGTATTCTAGTTCTCATAGAATGCGCAGTTTGGACAGTCGTGGTGCCCACAAATATGTTTTGATAAAGGGTTGAGGAACAGTTCAAGTACTAACAAAATCTGTGGTGCATGACAGTCATTTTGCATTTATTTGAACATTGTTTTAGAACTCTGATAAGCAGTATCCTTAGATATTTTTATGACCTCAAGGGGGCTAAAAGAGCATCAAAGCCCAGGGTTCTGGAATATTGGCTTAGAAGGAACCTCATTAAGAGTTTAAAAAAAACACACTGGTTCCATGTAACCTTGGATACAGAATACTCTAAGATTACAAGTATTGGCAAATCCCCACAATGGCTCAACTTAGAGATACTTGCTGGCAACTCCGCTCAAAGGATCTTAGTGGGTCTCAATCTGGTATAAAGTTGGAATACATTTTCCTGCCAGTTTTTAAAGTTTCATGAGGCCTCCTACTCTTAGGCTAAGACTGAAACCTGGAGCTGTATGAAAAGTGATTTTAGTATAAGCTATGATTTTGCTATGCCAAAGTATCTCTCATTTTGCATGTTGCCTTAGTAAAACAACATTCAAGTAAATTCCCTGATTTTAACAATGTACCTGCTTTAGCACAGGTGAGTCAGGAGCTGGTGATGTCACTTTAAAAAGCAAACATTGATTTATTATTGTTTAACGGCATCTAATGGATTTAATGGCCTATTGCTGCTATTTCCTGACACAGATTATTCAATAGCACAGTCTGGTCTAATTCCAAGAATTTCAGTTTTGCAAGTTATTTTTCCAGAGTCACATATTTTACTATTTATGGGATGTAATGGAGCGCATAAAAGGCATGCGGTAATGGTTGTGCACAAATTGGAATTCACACATATCATTGTAGTTACAAAAGTATATTTCATCATTCTGTACAAAACATTGGGAATTCCATCTGCGGAAGAATAGTACATACCTTTTTTATTTGCTGTGGCCTAGTTAATGGGTGTCTGGTCATGGAAAACCTTCCAGGTCCCCTTTTGGATTAGCATGACATCATATTCCGGCTCCCAGCCTCACTCTGCGGCGCGCGAGGGAGCTGAGCAGACAGCTCAGAGGAAGTGCTCCCTCGTCAGCCACCCGCCAGCACCGCCCGTCCGACCAGCAACCAGCCCATCAGCCTGACCGGCATGTCAGTTAGCCGCAAGGCTAATAAGACATTTGCCCTGGGCATTTGGGGGCGGCTTTTTTTGCCGCACCCTGGAAAATGCCGCCCAAGGCAAATGCCTTGTTTGCCTTGCGGCTAAAACGTCCCTAACCTTGGGTTGTCTACTAATGCAAATAGTATGCCATCATGGGGGTCATTCTCATTCCTGGGCTACCATATAGTCTCAAAGGCAACATTACCAATCAGACAAATTTCAATGTAAAAAAAAGGAAATGCAAGCCTTATATTGGACTCTATAACCTTTGAAAACATCATAAAACCTGTACATGGGGGGTTCGGTTGTACTCGCGAGACTCAGCGGAACACAAATATTAGTGTTTCAAAACAGTATCACAGCAATTATATCATCAGTCAAAGTGCCGTTTGTGTGTGAAAAATGCAAAAAACTGCACTTTTACTGACGATATCATCGTTGTGATATGTTTTACTGTTTAGAAACACTAATATTTGTGTCCAGCGAAGTCTCCAGAGTAAAACAGTACCCCCCATGTACAGGTTTTATGGTGTCCTGGAAAGTTAAAGGGTTACATAGTTACATAGTTATATAGCTGAAAAGAGACCATCAAGTTCCGCCTTCCTCACAAATGTTGTTGCTGTTGATCCAAAAGAAGGCAAAAAACCTGGTCTGAAAACAATGCTCTTACAACATATTATTATTAAAATTAGCCTCTATCAGCATTAGCACTATCTACCACTGGAATTAGTGTAGGATACACTAATATTGGGGTACTGTAGATGATGTGGTGGAACTGAATCCCCATATATAAGATTTGAAAGTGTGTTTTTATTTCTACGCTGTTCTCTATTGTGTGTGTGTGTGTGTATATGTGTATGTGTGTGTGTGTGTGTGTGTGTGTGTGTGTGTGTGTGTGTGTGTATATATATATATATATATATATATACACACACATGTAGAAAGGCCATTAGGCCTGAATTTGTGGGAGGAGTAAGTCCCCTACTTAAGCTCTCAGCCCCTACTCACCGCTGCCGCTCAGCTGATTGTCCTTAGCAACCAGCACTTCCGGTCCAGCTTCCCGCCAGAACTGTACCTGTTTCCAGCAGCCAGACGCCCTGTGCAATCCTCCGTCCGTCCGAGGCCCTTCCACTCCGTTTCCCTCCGGTCGAGGTACCCGACTTCCGGTCACGAGACCGGCGCGTTCACGTAAGCAAGGTGTGGGAATTAGCGTTCGCTTTTTCCCCGCCGTTCGGGCCTAAAAACGTAGGGGTAGGCTCCCTCTTTCGCATTTTCACGAATACACGCTTTCGTATATATCTCCATTCGCGCCAAAAAACGCACGAACGTTCGGCTCATTTCGCTATCGTTTTACGCTTTTTCGTACGGAAACAACCGAATAAACATTTCATGTTTAAGCTCATTATTATCTGTATTCACTTTTCCGTTCGGTTATTTCAGCATCAACCTATTCGTATGGTTAATTCACGTAC